CTTTTTACACATCAATCTTTGTACTGGAATATTATTTCTGTCATGCTTTGTGGACATTAAGATCTAAAGTCAAGAAGAAGAGAATTTTTTGTTGTTTTGGGTTTTTTTTAAAGAAAAAGCGAAACGTCTTCCAAATTGGAAACAAAGTCCAGTGGATTGTTTTTTTGTTGTTGTTTTTTTTATTTTTTTATTTTTTTGGAATGACTGTGATCTGGATCACCGGGAATCCTCACCATCATATCTAAAGAAAAGCACCCTCTCCTGGTCGGACCCTGTAATTCAGTGAAAGGGTGGAGTCATGCAAAACATATGCATTACCAGGAGAAAGAGGGGATCACTTTAGTGGCTAATAGTTGGGCTGCCATTCGGCTGGCGTTTAACTAGGAAGGGCCATTTTAAATGGCTGCTATTGTAATGATATTAAGAGACATAAGCACATTAAGACATCCCCAGAAAAGCTGCACCTTCTTATTACTACATTTAGGAAGTAATTGTTAGATTTTGATTCCTGCTGTTAAGTTATTAAATCATTTTCAGCTTTGACACAAATATTTTCCAAGGAGAATTTTTAGCTCAGTGTTGTTTCTAAGCTATCTCTATAGTTACAGTGTGCTGCTATAGGCTTAGACTTCTGGAGGACATAGGGACCCCTATTTCATCATTCTCCTTCATTCTATCTCTATTCTCCCACTCTGCAGAATCTGTTAGTTCAATCTCTAACGTTCTGCTCTCTCTGCTTTTTCTCATAGTATCTTCGCCTCGTCTGTTCCTGTTTGGCTGTAACTCCATCCTGGAGAGAAATATCAGCTGTGCTGCCGCCATCAACGCCTTTGTTTATAGATATTTGAGATTAGCCTGTTTTCCAGTGTAGTCCTGTTTCTCTGACTGTGACTGGCTGGATGTGCTCTTTTCATCTTCTGACATGGGAGCTGGCTCGGAGCTCGTCTGCCTGGCTGTGTTTCCTGGAAGGGGCAGCCTTTTAAAGTTGCTTTTTCCATGTCTCCTTGAACCCCAGTCGGTCTCGGCAGATGGGCGCTCACACTGAGCCTGGTTCTGCTGGAGGTTTCTTGCTGTTAAAAGGGAGCTTTTCTCTCTCCACCTTCTCTACAAGCATGCTTAGTATGAGGGATTGCATTCGAGTCAGTGAGTCGATGCAATCAACTTTTTTTTTCGTTAGATAGAAAACTATATAACTGTACTCGCTCCCGAGAGGGAACGTCTAATTAACACGTGCAAGAGTGTGCACAGGCTAATTTATCCTCGTTCACGCTCTGTTTAAAAGTTGTTGCTTGCGTCGCTCATACAAGCTTACTTTCAAAAAGAAGATTTGCAATTTTTCCAGCATGTCAGACTCAACACCGGTAAAGTTAAAATGGGAATGAGCATGTAGGACGGCCTTACGTAAACATATCACCAGCATGATTGACAATTAAGAGGACCACTTTATTAAAGGAATAGTACACCCAAAACATGATTAGCCTTCATTTTCTACTCACCCCCATGCTGAACAACACTCTGGAGTACTTTTTTGATATCTCAAATGACTTCAGTGTTGAGGAAGAGCATGAGTTCTTTGCCGAGCTGAATGCGCACTTTCATCTGGTTTGGTCTGCCGCGGTTTCCGTAGACTCGTGAACGCGCTTTTAGGAAATCCTATACACTACTGTTTATGCTCTAAAAACCTTCTAAATGACTTCGTTTCGAGTAAATTATGGACGCTACCCACTCAGGACACTTGGAATACATTGGACGAGCAGTATGGAGGAATATTGACACGTTTTTTGTGGACTTTTATGGACCTTTCTGCCTCGGGCGCTGGGTACCTCCATTATTTGAATGTCAGCAGACAGCAAGTAGCCTCCCAGATCTCCAGATGCATTTGAGATATCAAAAAAAGTACTCCAGAGTGTTGTTCAGCATGGGGGTGAGTAGAAAATGAAGGCTAATCATGTTTTGGGTGTACTATTCCTTTAAAAAGAACATCCCCCACTGTACCTTTAGCATATTTGATTTGTCAAATACACAAATAGCTGCAACCTACAAAATGGTTTTCTTCTTGCTACTGTTTCATACAGCCTCTGTAGCTCCTCTGCAACTTTATCCCTGAATGTGTGCCTCATTCATTAGTCTTCATTATTCGGTTTGTTTTCTAATGTTCTCTAATAAACTTGTAAGCCTCACAGACCAGCTGGATTTTTACTGAGATTAAATTACACACAAGAGGACTCTATTTACTAATTAGCTGACATCTGTGGGCTGTTGGTGGAACTGGATTTTATTTAGGGGTATCAGAGGAGTTGAATGCAAATCATGAAACATTTCCAAGTGTTTAATTGATTGTCTTATTTACCTTTTACTGCACAATGCATTGCTCCATCACATAACTAATGTAATACATCACATAATTTAATATCTAAGAAGTTAAAAAGGCAGAACTACTTTGTAAGGGGTCTGTATTAGTTGGGCAACATGCTGACGATGATGTATCAAAGCATGTTCATTTGAATATGTTTCATCAAAATGTGTCTGACATAATTTTTAGTTTTTTGGTCTTAAATGTGGCAAGAAATAGAAAAATATGGAAGGAACTGGGAGGAAAAAAAGTAGGTCATACAGGATTTATGGGGCCATCCAGTGAAAAACTGAAAATGTCAACAGGGAGGCTTTTTCCAGGGAGACTCATTAGGCTGTCAGCTCCAAGCAGTATAGTAAAAGGGCCAAGTTTGGAGGTAAGACCAATGTCAACCCTATTTAATTTACTTTATACTGTAATGGCCTAAAATGTTCAGAATAATTAAAATAATACTCTTTGATTGTCATCTCCAGTCACGATTTAGGAAAATGCGAACAATCTGCCTTGTTATGTTTTGTGTAACAGGCCAGAGTTCTTGTTAGGCAGAAATCAGAATCGATGGAACTGACCTGACCTTCAGGTCAAAGCTGAAGACAATAGTAGCAGTTCATGACAGACTTTTAATGGGTTGATTTTTTTTTTTTTAAGGACATAGGGATTGAAGGAGCTACATGCAGCACCAATCCTCCATTAGTGACAACCTTAAAGGACCTATAAGCAATAATTTATTATCTTAGTTAGAAAAAAGTAAAAATTTATCATTTGAAGGACTAAATGGAAAATGGTGTGATGTCATGCACTACCTCTTTCATAGATGTACATACTTTACAAGCCAGCTGTGTGTGAATGTATGTGCATGTGATTAGCTGCCAGTCAGAGCTTAGCCCTTTCGTGCCCATAAATTGTAATTAACAGAAAAACATTTAGCATAGGAGCAAATGGTGGAGAAACATTTGGTCGATCGACCGTTTCACCTGGAGATGATCATTTGTTCTACGCAACAATAAGGTTGCTCAACGGCCCACCTAGTGGTAAATCTTCACTTCCTGCTCCTTTAAGATAATCCCATCTTATTTTTTATAATATGGCTCGAAGTACTACCGTACGACCATAATCTGCTACTTTTTTCCTAGGTTTTGTCCGATGCAGCTTATAAGACGGCACAGCTTTTCTGGGGATTTTTATTAACTGCCAGAGGGGAAAGGTCAGAGTTGGAAATGAAGAATAAGGGGCTAATTTTCATTTACCACAAAAACATGCAAGGAGCAGGAATGATGGAGAACAAATGTCCCGAATTCACACATTGTGACATTTATTTGTTGCATTAAATCTACCGAATGAATGTGAAGACTGGTTTCATCTCCATCTTTCAGTAGAAGCTCTTGCTGCTTCGAGCTAACAACCTAACAAGAGGTAGCTTTCTTCTTCGTCTATACTCCAGGCTATATGTTGGGTGACCAGACATCCCTGATTTCTGGGGACAGTCCCCCTTTTCGACCACCTGTCCCCAGAAATGTCCCCGATTTTACCGTTTAAGGAATGACTGTTCGACTGCATAACTGTTGTTACTGTAGAAAGAGCATGCGAGCACGCTGCACACAGAAACAACTGTTAATGTATAGACGAGTGGCAGAGTGCACCAGTTTTAAAACAGACGAGGAAGTTCATTATCACAGCCGGCTGGACGCAGCTACAATGTGTTACCCCAAAAGCCTACAGGCTCCGCTGTCCCTCCCGTCTTGCTCTGCTTCTACTTCCTTGGAGCTCGAAAAAAGCAGGCGCTATTTAATATTAAATTCATAGGAGCATAACATGCGCAAACAAAGGCCTAATTTAATATGACACATTAAAAAAAAATCCCCAAACCCCTACCCATGCAGCTGTCCAGGATACAGTATAAACAACTGGAGGCCATTACATTTTATAGTTATCATTATGTAGAAAAAAAAAGGTTTTTAAATTTGTATATATATATATATATATAAGTTTCATTTAAATTTTTTGGAATGGAAACGGTTAAATTCCTCTGTATTACTGCCAAGTGGCCTGTCGCTGAACACAATCTTATGTTGCTCACAAGGGAAGAAGACAGAATGACCAGATGGCACTATTAATTGATTAATATTATTTATTTTAGGAAATGGAAGAGTCTCATTCCTGGATTTCACACTAGATTTTTTTTTTTTATATTAATAAATATGTAAAAATGGATGAAAACACCACTGTCCCCATTTCCTATTTTAATTTTAATTAAATGCATTTATTTTTATCTATGAGCTGAAAATGTCCATAGGTTAGATCGCAGAAATCTGGTCACCTTAATGTAGAGCTCCCCCTACAGGTTTGCTGGGAGACAGTAGATATAAGTGGCTTATAGTCCGGTTTGGCTTATATAGTTATGTTTCCTGTTTTTTCAAAAAACTTAGTGAATGCACCTTATAGTGAGGTGCGCTCTATAGTCTGGAAAATGCTGTTGCTCCTTTTTAGCAGAAGATATGAGAAATATTTCAATATAAATAAAATCTGTAAATTTGTTGGATCCCTCATTAAAGTCAAAGAAATGACTTGGAGTCAATTTTCCCCTAAAATGGACCTACTGCATCTTACAACAAACAATGATCTTTTGATGTATATATGAATGAAATACCTGTAACATCGAGTGGCATGCACTGAGCTTGTGTGCGTCTCAACGGGTGCCAGCGTGGTTTCTCAGCGACGGGCGGCCCTGTGGTGGCAGATGTAGCTGTGCTGCTGCTACTGTTGTTGCTGCTCCAGCCCAGAGGGGGGCGATCTGAGCCGCAGGGGGACGGGGTCGGGGAAGGCGAGGGGTTGATCACAGACCTCAGGCCAAACACGGAGGAGGTGGTTTCATCTTCATAAAGCTGCTTGGACGCCGGCTAGAAGTAGGAGAAGAACAAAGGGATGAACTTAGTGTTTTTCTATGGAAGGACATCTTAAACAGGTTTACACAGTGATTAAAGTTTGTGTGAACGGGCTAGAGAGTATCACATAAAATAATCACATAAAAAAACAGACCTTTTCTTGCGTATTTTCATGTTTTTAAATATTTAACAAAAAATTTAAAAAAAATTTGACAACCATGTTCCTTAAAAATGGAGTCTTTGAGAAGCACTCATAATTTTATTTAATTGAAAAAGACACGAAGCTGGTGGGAGAATGTGAGGTTAAAAACTGACTAGAACGGTCTGCAACCTTTAAAATCCAAATCCCTTTTGCCCTGAGTCAGGGTGATTAAAAGCTGTTTAGAGCTACAAATATTAAAGCTTTCTAAATGATTATGACTTTTTAATAAAACAAAACTTCTCAGTAGTTTTGTTAATTATCTGCTATAGAAAATCTGTTTCCATTTTAAACAACCAAGAGTTAACGTGTATTTTTAACTAAACTGAGTCACTAGTACAAAACCATCCATATGAACTGGCAGACTATAATAGATTATGCACTTCGTGGATTATAGAGACATTAATGAAACTAAGGAGTAGTCTATTGTGCAAAGAAACCCATGAAGTATTATCATCCATCTTAACACAAGCTACTGGGGATCCAGCTAATATTTGGAAAATGTACTTTGTAGCAAGGGAGGATGACCAGAGCAGAGGGGGAAGTGGAAGCAGCTCCATAGTATTACCTTCTAGCAGGACACTAACCTTGGAGCCAAAGTTCAAATAAAAGGGTTTAGATTTAAGCATATTCTTGCGTTAAGAGAGCTCAGTAATCGTTCAGGTTTAATTTTAAATGAGAATTTATTGTATTACCTCCACAAAAAAACTGACCGAAGCTGAGCCATGCAAGAACATAGAATTACGGTTTGTTTGTTTTTTCCTTTTTGGAGGTTTTTTATGGTACTAGTGGATCATTCATTGTAAACTGCGCTAACAGGAAAAGGCGTAAGACACAGGGAAAAAACATGCAGCAAAGGACCACAGGTCAGATTCGAACCCGGGTCAGCTACGTCGATGACCAAATACTGATTTATACTTCGAAACTAGGTAGTCTAAGTAGGTGTTGCAGTGAACGCAGAGAAGTCCCCGCCCCCACCGCAGACACTCTGCTGCACCTCTCCAAAACACTAAGTGACAAAAGACAGTGCCGCAGACAGGAGGCCTCTGATTGGTCAAATCTACATCCGCTCTACACTATTTGTATTTCCTGTTTGGTACCTTACCGGCTTGTTCTGCTTGTACGACCGCCATTGCGGAAAACGACTCGTGAAGATGGATCAGCTAGAAGAGCGAGGTGTGCAAGAACGCTAGGACCCTTTTTCCACCTGGATCCCCGCTTTTTCGCCCTCATGTCCCTCAATTGTCGCACAAACTTGCCACCACTTCCTGACTGCCTCGGCGTATCTTGACCCACAGCTAGTTCGCGATTGTCCGTCTTGCCTTGTGGCATGGAATAACATAGCGCAGACCACCCTTCAAAATTGAGCATAAATCAAAAATGTCTGGGGCAATCTCACTGTGACACACTGCTGCGGGAGTATAACCAGCCCTTAAGGCCGCCATACATGGGTTTTGGAGCTAACCACTGCCCCACCGAAGCACGGTCCTAGAATTACAGTTTTACATGTAAAAAGCTAGTAGAGAGATATATCCTAAGAGACTTGCAAATGTAATCATTTTCTGACTAACGGGGGGCTCAATAGAGCTGAATGCTTCCTTCCTACTCTCATTAAACCCACAATCATTTCTTTGAATCTGACTGTAACATGACAGGATATTCACGAGGTCATGGCTTCTGAAGTACAGGAAATGTTTCAGTGCATCTTTAAAAGCCAACATTACAACTATGTCGGCTGTAGAGATTGGAAACCGATGATCGCTGGAAAAAAAATTAACAAAACTAGACAGAGACACAAAGGAAACAATTGAACTAATAGAGCTGTAATGAGCAGGAAGCATGGCGGTATTCTTGGGGTAGAGGAAATGTGTGAATCCATTGTGACGCAGTTCAAGAAATTAGTCTTAGCTTCCAGAGCAATAAAGCCAGAGCACAGAGTAGATTTAGCTGCAGATACTGTTGTCATCACGTACATTCTTTCTAAAAATACTAATGAATTACTATCTTGCTTTAAAAAAATCTATTAGTATCATCCTTGTATGCAGGAACTATCTGTCAGATAGCTCTATTTAGTGTGTTTTTTCTAAGCATTATACTTCTATTTGAAAGACACTGAAGGATCATTAAGGATCTGTTTATAGACAGCAGCTGAGAGAAAGAAGAGGAAGATGACTAACTGCTAAATCTGAATGAGGGGGAGGAATGTGCTGTACAGCAGATTTTGGCTTATTCATGTTCGGCCTGCTCTGTTTGCAGGATGATAAACATAATGAGGCGTTTAGTCAAAACACAACTTTTAGCTGTCATTTGCTCCATTCACTGAGAAAAAAAAATATGATCGCACTGCATTATGTTAGTAATTGAAGTCTGGAACAGGAGCACTTTAAATGAAGAAGAAATAATACAAACCAAGGGCATTCCAAACGAGGCAGTTCTCTTTTAAATTTCAAATTCATAAGTTTCAATGGAAGATCCTTCAGAGAAACTGTAGTTTCATTGAGAAAACACTTGCTTTTATTAACCCCAAATACCTCTATTACTGTATTAAACATCTCATTAACTGATGTGAGAATGATGCTTTGGGTTATGAACAATGAGACACTTTCACACTGAAAACCCGGGTTTTTCAATACCCGGTTTACCCGCTAACATTCCGCTGTTGGCTATTTTCCCATTTGACCGAAAAGCCGACTCAACCCTCTGCTGGTAAGCTGATGTCGACAGTGTGACAGAAATCTGTGAAGTAAATGGCATGCAGTGGAAACATCAGAACCGGGTTGACCCGCTAAATTACGTGATAACTTTGCGCGTAACGTACACATCACAACATTGCGCCGGTCGCGTTAAACGACAAGCCCAAACAACTCGGCTTGTATTCCAGAAACGCGGCACATGGCTGGCAAGACAGAGAGATTTGTGAGCTCCTTATGATCCGCTGAGAAGAGGAGATTCGTCGCTAAGTTTCAGGCACCGTTCGAGTACGTTCCAGCTGCTGGCCATGTTGATCTCCATTATCTACTTCCCTGATTTCGGTCTCACTGTCTACATAAGCAATGCTCCCCCAGCGTGATGCTGTCATCAGACATGCAGTGATGGGGGACAATGCCCATGCAGATGGACAGCAGAGGGGTAGACTCGGCTTTTCAGTCAAATGGGAAAAAAAACAAAAGCCGATTGTAAGCGGGTCAACCTGGTTTAGAAAAACCCAAGTTTTCAGTGTAAAAGCGGCTGTAATTTAACATGTCAACCCGTGTCTGGGGTTCTCACGGCATGCCGATCAGAGCCGAGGTGATTTTAACTCGGGTCGCTTGAGCTGTTACCACTGCCACTAATGGCAGATTGTTCCCAGGTTTAAACAGTGGGAAAAGGGGTATTACTTTAAAACACAAGAAATGCAAAAGATCCCATTAATCTCAACATAAATAAATTAAACCTGCATTAATAAAAGGAAAAATGTTTCAGGATGCAGAGGTGGGTAGAGTAGCCAAAAATTGTACAAAAGTAAGAGTAGCAACACTTTTACATTTGTTTTACTCAAGAAAACATAAAAAAGTAGTCATCTAAGAAACTACTCAAGTAAAAGTAAAAAAATATTCAGTAAAAAGGCTACTTGAGTGGAGGGTAACTGTTGGATAATAAAATCATATTTAATGTTTATAAATGATGCTGGCAAACAGACTTTACGTTGAAGTTCTGACATTTTAAAGACTCAGATGCATAAAGAAAACAAATAAATGTCATGAATAACAGTGTGCACCATTTACACTATATAGCCTAGACACGTGGTGTTGAACATCATGCCCATTCTCACATACTGTAGCTACTTCAAAAAGAAGAAAAGTTCAACATGATTCCTGTATTCCAATGGCCTCTATAATCACCAGATCTCAATCTAACAGAGAGCCTTGGGGATGTGTTCGAGCAGGAGATTCATATCATGGATTTGGACCCAACAAATCTGCAACAACTGCCTACAGCTACCTTCTCAACCAAAATCTCTCAGGAACGCATAAGAGACCTTGTAATTTCTATAAGAATTAAGGAAATCTCAAGATAAAAAGAGCTTTGGGTGTTGACATATGAATGCACGTCTTTATTTACCAGAGAAACATAGTAAGAAGGAGATTTACAAAGGCTGGTTCAGCAACCTGAAAAGAGGAAAGTCTTTGCCTCATTAAACCATGATACACCTGCATACGTGTTTGTTTACCAGGAAGATGAAGTCCGGTCTCTTGTTGTTGAGAGAGATGGGCGAGCGGTTGAGCGACGTGAACGTGTCGTCTGAGCTCTGCGAGGACGGATGGCGAAACGTCTGGCCAGTCAGCTTGGTGTCGTACAACTGTTCCTCAAATTCTATACAGACAGACAGAACACAGCACAAACACAGAGGTAGCCCGTGAGAACAAAATAAACGGACGTTTTGAAGAATGACTAAAAAGAATCTCACACACGTTACGTTGTTTCAGGCTAAGGAAAGAGATCTAGCAGAGCAGTCACTTGAAACCTCCCTCCTGAGAATCCCTCATGCACCTTCTTCAAGCTCAACATTCTGCCTCGGTTTATGTTTAATCCTCACATGAGTTCTCATGACTCCTTTTTTTTCTTCTTTAAACCAGACATTCTCCAACTGGTTACCAATCTGCTTCTTGATATCCCTACTCTCTCCCTCAAGCTATTGTAAACAGATTCCTAAACCCCCATCCCCCCACCTTCCTAACCACACACCCACTCCCCCAACAACTGTTCAGCCAATCCTTCACCCCAAAAACACACTCCTGACCCAAACCCCGGTCGCCACTAAGCTGTGTGACACACATGTGTACACACCCCCACAGATGGATACTCCCAGTACAATCCTACAGATGGGCTACATGCAACACCAGCATGGGGAGGACAGATGCTTTACTGTACTACCCTATTAAAGGACCATTTTTCTACAATTCTGGACGATAACTTCCTTATACTTAATTGTAACTAATGGTGTCAAATCTAACTTGCATCATCCTGAAAAACGATTTATTTTGGTACGTGGTGAACAACGAGTTGGTGCAGCACTGAGTCCAACCACAAAGAAATGAATTGTCTGGATAAAACAAATAATTTTGATGGCTTTTATTTTTTTTTTATATAAAGGCTATAAGGAAAGTGAGCTTAAATGAATAAAAAACTAAGCAGCATTTTTAAAATGAAAGGAGAGGAATTTAGAGATAATTGTATAAAAAATGTAAATAGTTGTCTAAAAAAGTTACTCCATTAAAGCATAGATAGACAAAATTTCTACTTAAGTAGTATAACAGAGTATTTAAGGCTGAAACAATTAATCTGATTAATTGATTATTGAAATAATTGTCAACTAATTTTGTAATCGATTAATCGTTAATCTAAGTAAAGAGACTCTAAAACGTGTCTTTAGTTGACAGAGCAACCCACTTAGTGCAGTGATTATATCAAAACTGCAAACAAATATATAAACATTTTCCATTTAAGATATAAAGATAACTTTTCCATCTGTCAATATGCTCTATCCAGAACTTCTTAAGTGGAAAAATTTTAGTTTCACCTGGTTTACTTATTTTCAAAAGTCTTCTTTAAGCAATCTTTGGTTATCTGCTTATTAATCAATAATTCAAACAAATTATAGACATTAATCGATTAGTTAAATATTTGTAAGTTATAGCACTAGAAGTATTTGTACTTTGTTTCTTCACACCTCTGCTTATGTACGACTACTTTATACAGTTTTTTCCATTTTTTTTTTCTATTTTGTAGATAATTACCAGCACATATTCACATTGTGCTGAAAGTGTTTTAGTCAACTGCAAGAATTTTTGAAAAATTTAATGTCTGGATAAAAATGCACGTTTTATTTAAAAAATAGGTTTTCCCTCACACTGCATAGCACTACCAGGAATGACATTGCAGGTAAGCTCTGTAAGAATTGTAGCATCCTTAGCAACCAAAAGCAGAAACAGATCTTTTTAGATAGATCGATCTTTAAAATAGATATTATTATAAATAGAATTTAGATAGATAGATCTTTAAAATATTTAGCAAAACCAATAATCAAACATCGTCTACCTTTGTCTGAATAATTATTATTATTATTATGGAAATAACATCCATACATCTGGCTAGAAATGTCCTCAAAATGCATATAAATACAGATGATTTATTTGAAATGTTGCATTTTGCATTTAAAAACTTTTTTGTTTTGCTCAGAGAAACTTAATACTTACAGCATAAGCTGCTTGCAAGCCAATGTAAATAAACAGGCTACATAAAACATAGGTTTGTAACATATTTAGGAGAGAATGCTGCATTTCATTTTTTTCTGTAAGAGTTCTAAAAATTAATGCATTCTAAAAAGTGCATAAAAGGTTAGTTAATAAAAAACTGAAATCAGAAGACATAAAAAACTTTAAAATGCATAGTAAAGGTCCACAGGTTTAACAGAAAATCAAAATAATGCTGTTTACACAAACATTAAACACTGACAGAATGCAGAGTTTACGTCAAAGATGCTGAACTCAGTTTCTTCTTGTTTGTTTATTTTCTACAGTTATATATCACTTTGGTAATGAATGTGTCATAATTAAAGTCCCTTAAGGTTTCACCAAGCGAATAAAGTTCCCTTAGTGTATCTGCTTATTATTCTGTTTCCACAAAGCTTTTCTATTCATGTAAGCAATTAATGGAAAGTAGGGTGGATGTGTGACATTAAGTCAGCGAGGCAATGTGGGAGAAATTTGGATTCAAACTCAGAATCATGAACAGCAATTAACACATAACAGCACAGCAACGGTGTATAAAATAATAATGGTACTGAATTTTTAAACAGGCTTAGACAGTCCAACCACCCACAGATTTGGTGAAGACTTAAATGGCGTTTGGAAACATTGCTGCTGGCATGTTTCTTTGCTCCAGTAAAAAATGTGCCAGTGAAAGACAACTGTTTATGGGATCTCACTCAGTGTGAGTGCTAAGATGTCCTCTGACATCAAAGGAAGCAGAGGAAGCCTTTTGAATTACACCCCCCCTCACAATAAAAGAAAAAATACAATATATTAAGATGCCATTCTCAAATCTGTTTTCTCTGTTTTACAGAACATGAAGTTCACAATTATATTTAATTATATTAACCATAATATGGAGCATTTTTAGCCATTAAAGTTTAAAAACATAAGACTCCGACACCAAAATGTTTCATCCAAAAAATAGCTTTAGTTCTAGTTAAAATAAGTAATTTAAATTAGCTCATATTTGAGAGGAATAGGCCTGAGTAGTCTTTGAAGGGATGTAAGCTGCTAGAGGTCCTTGTAGAAAACAGTTTTTTTGGGAGCAAGTTGTGTAAATAAAGCACATAATATACCTGAATAACCTCCCTGAGGCGAACATTCCTGCTCAAACCCTTAAAAGTTAATCTGCTTGCTATTATTCTTCCCTCTGCTCATTCATCACAATAGGGATCACACTGGCTACTATTTACCCAAAAGCAGAGTTTTATTGATCAAACTCCTCTCCTGTTTTTGATTACTGTTTAACAACTTTTTGGTTAAACATTAGTAAAAGAAGCAGTTTTCAAATGATGATATTAGTTACTGATGAAAAAAAAAGTATCTATGTCAATTTAGGCCTATATAAGCAAATAATTTAAACCATGAATTAATACTGACAAACAGAATAGTTTGGACAGTGTCTTGGTTCTCCCCTTTTGGGACTCTGAGTTTTTACTTTTCAGTTTTTAGTTATTCTGTTTTGTTGATCTTTGGTTTGTTCAGACTTTAGTTACTCTCTGTCGCCCCCTTGTGCCTGTTTCCTTTCCCCTCTGCTTCCTTCTAGTTACTTCCACTCACACCTGCTCCTTATTCAGCTCATTAGTCCATCCTTTGTTCTGTTCCCCTTATATACTCCACCTCTGCAGTCACTCAGTGCTGGTTCCTTGTTGTTGTTTTGGTGTTCCCTCGTCTCCGGTTCCCCACGTGAGTTTTCCCTGATGCTTTCTGGATTTTTGATTATTAGTAGTGATGGTGAGATGAAGCCTCATGAGGCATTGAACCGTTTGGCCAAATTGCTTCAACGATCCTCACAGTTCATGAAGCCTCATGTGAACATGTCACCACCTACTGGTGGAGTGCAGAACTACAGTTTGTAATATAACTGATTCATTGCAATACTGTTTTTATTGTTTGTTTTTTTTCCCTCATATAAGTTCATTTGAAAGTGTTAATGTTTGGTCTGTAAAATAAAATCTTTAGTAAGTTTTTTTGTTTGTGAAATGTCTTAGAATAGAACAACAATTTTAGGTACACAGTTTTTCTGCCATTTTAGTGAAATAAGCCCCAACAGACATTTAAAGCCATTGTGCAAATTGGCCAATGATGTGAAAATGAAAGGAGTTAGTCATTTTTAATTAAACGTAATAGTTTTTCCACTGTTTGTGGTTTTAATTAGGGTTCAAAGTTATGTGTTCAACCAATCTTTTGGTTAAACCCACCAAACTATTTTTTTGTGTTTTTACCGATCTATATTTAAACTAGGGCAACGAATGCAAATTAGTCACATTAGCCAAAACATTAGATGTGTTTTATCAAAACTTTTAAAAGTCTGAGGGGGGTCTTGAACCAACAACCCATTGATTGGTATTCCATATCGTACAACTAAAGCCACTATGTAGATTACTATGCAACAAAAAGCTGTATGATTTAGATCAATAGCTTGCTTAGATTTTGATCATTACATTGTTTAATCTAACCAAACTAGTTTTAACCAACTAGATTGGTTGGAAAAAACACCAATCTATTCTTAGAATATATCCAAACTCCATCCCATTCTCCTGCAAACTCCAACATCTTGACTGAATACTAAGGCAGTGAAAACGCCTGCCAAAGTTCCAGGTGAGCTGAACCACTTCCCGAAGCGGTCAGGTGCTATGGTGGGGTAGCAAGGCTTCGGACGTCATCTATTTTGGCTCCCCCCGCAAATGAAGCAAGCCTTGATACGCGCCTCGTGGAAACGCCCCCTCCAGTACGCAACACGCATTGAAGCCTCGGCTTATCTCATAAAATCACTAGTTCTTAGTATTTTGCATTTTTGGTTGTCTGCCTGTTTTTTTTGTTTGTTTTTTTTTTCATTAAAGCTACAAGATTCTCCTCTACCTCCTGGTCTCAGCATCTGGGTCATCAACTGACTTCAATACAAATCGTGACAGACAGCTTGGTTTAGGCTCCATTCAGGCTGCATGATTGCTGGACCGCTGGAATATGAAATAAAAGAAGCTAAAGTAACTTAAAAAGCAACATGGTCAACCCCAACAGTTGTTAAATGTGAGCTGTTGTTTTTTTATACTTAATTAC